AAGGCACAAAGTAATAGAGTAAGCATGAAATTGTAGAGCAAGGGAAGGGGAATAAAAAAGAAATGAGAGGAAATTGTAAAATTCCTCCAATGGAACAGTTCTGGATAACAACCAGATCCAGGAAAGCAGCCTGCTGAAATGAAGACCAGAAGGTCAAGACTGTGCAAGCAAAGTAGCCAAGAATAATGATGAGGTTCAGATGTGGAAGAGTTGCTATGGGAAGGAATTGCTAAGGTCAGTAGATGAAAATGAAAGCTAATGGATGGTGATCTGAATGGAACACTGTCAACAAAGGGGTTTATATATGTATGTAGTTGATAGAACAATACTTCGGCGAATAAAGCATAATTAAAATTATGCTAACACCATCTATACTCCCACTTCCCCCCCTGACTGTGATATTATAGTCAAAGGAGAACCACTATCTTTCAAGAGACAGAGCTGCTGAATCTTAAAGAGAAAAGTAGTTAATGCAATTGGTTTTTAGTGGAAGATTGAGGTTTCACAATGCAATAATTCAGAGGCACAATGGGAAAAGCCAAGTAGGAAATTAATGTTCTGTACTTTTATAAAGTTCAATCCAAGGCAGAAAGATGTGTCCCTGGTCTTTTAAAGTGTCCCATGATGGAAAGGGGGTGAGTCTCACTGTTAATAAAGCTACTCCTATGTTTTCTCCCTAGAAAACAAATCCTCTAATTTTGTTTTAGGCTCTAATAACTGAAAAGAAAACTCATTTTTACAATGTCATTTTAAACAATAAAACTATTATCTTACAGGCATTTTTATTTTTTATAGGTCACTTTTTATCTACAACCTAATTATATTTATTAATCTGAAAAACATATCCTTAATCTCTTTGGCAACTTCCTAACCTGAAATTTTTCTTATTTTCCCTTTCTTCACTTCATTTTTGCCTTTATTATTTTTACCTTTACCATTAATAACTTTGTCACTATAAGTTTATAATAACTATCGTATAACTTTGCTGACATACACAGTGCCTTTTTCTTATTTCTACAGACTATCTCAAGTAATACATATGTTGTAAGAGTCCTATTGTATCTGTGTAGCCTATTCCATATTTTGTCATCTTTTAGCACGTAATATGCTTTTAAAAGCATAATTTTAATTACATTTGTAAATTTACAGTATTTTATTGCCTACTACATAAACATAAAAGTACATTCCCATGGTAATTTAAAACTTTTAGTAGTAAATATTTTAGCAAAATTTTAATGTTATTATGGACAGTTTATTCAGCTACTTATAAAGACTTTTTAAGGGTGTATTATAATACAGTGTTTTAAATTTACATATCACATACAGTTCAGCTAAAAATGATAAAAAAATATAACCTATACATATGATAAAATGTTTTCCAATAAAATAAAGTGTCATACTAACAGAGAAGGGCCTATCTAATATATCTAATAAAAAATGAATGCAAAAGAGAAATTTTCTATTATAGAGAATGTGAAGCTCAGTAAAGGTTATCTAAACAAAATAACAGTTAAATTTTAGCTAGCATTTAAGAAATATGTGATCGAGGATAACACTAATTTGTACTCGAGAATTAAAGGAAGAAATCAAGGCTATAAAGATTTAGAAGGCAATGGAGGCTACAACTTATACAGATCAAGAAAAGCGGTTCTGAGAATCTATCCTTGTTAAAGACCATTCCATACCCAAGTGTCTGGAAGAAAGGCAGTACTCTGATTACCTTAGAATACAACACCAAACCCTGTTTTTTCTCAGTGCTTTCCAACTTTTTCCTCAGGCACCCTTAAAAATATAACATTTGTAAAGCATCCAGGAAAGAGGAGTTGCTACCAGTTAAGAGGCAACAAACCAAGAGGCTCCAGCCACTTTTATTCATGGCGCATAGCTTGGGAAGCTCTCACTTCGAGCAGCAAAAGGGTAATCTGTAAAATAAACTCTACCTTTATGAGCATCATAAAAACAAGAAAGTAAGCATCACAGGAAATAATTTCTGAGTACTCAGAATGAACAGATCAATAAATGAATGAGTCCTACCCCCAAAACACACAAGCTGACTTCCTGAAAAAAATCCCAGTCAGCTTACTCTTTATTTATGCTCGTTTCTTATTAAAAAAGAGTGATAAATGAGTGAAATATAAAAAAGAGTCAAATATAAACCTTTTAGAAGTGTAAAAGACATATTTTAATACAAGTGATTGCACATCAAAAGCTGCAAAAACTCTTCTACCAAAGTGCTTCCTTCAGCCTTAAGAAAAGCCATCTTTCCTTTTCACTACTATTACCAGCATTCTGATTTATGAACACTCTTTAAAATATTACCAATATTTCTTTGTTAGCTATACAAATGGCCATGGTACTCCTCTTTACTAATTATCTCTTCTTTCTTAAAGACCACAAGTTTTTCTTGGGATATGAGGGGCAGGTATTTCACTTCATTTTTAGAATTTATCTAAGGTAAAGGATTCTAAGATGTGACCGACAGACAAAATGGGTACAAAACAGTTTTTAGCAAATGAGGATTTTAAAGATAACTATCAACTTGGGAAGAACGTTGTAAATTTATAGACTCAATAGTCACAGAGTACTTCTTTCTTAGATAAATAAAAAAACTAGAACTCAGCATACGGAATTGAAATAAAACCAATCAATAAAAACATCTACAGAAATGGACATTAAGAATCCAAAATGCAGTGACAATAAAAAAAGAATATATACTTCAATTCTGTATTGCTTCAGAAGTATCTTGATCAAAAGTGTATTACCCAGCAGAGGGGGGTAATTAATCTGCTTATTTCAATGTCACTGTCCTATTTGTCTTGAAATTCCACAAGACACTGCTGTTTTAAATTTATAACCATGCATTATTGCCTCTGCCTTTAATCATACAAGTCCCCATAACCTAAAATGCTTTACTATATAGCTAATCTCTGCAAGAAATATGGCAACCCTCCAAGTGAATAACTTTTCCTTCATGTCTACACTGAGATATATTGATTACCCTGTTACACAAATAACAAGCTTCCTCAAGGAGAAGTGGTCAGGTGAAACAACAAATGTTCTGATTCCTAGTCAGTGCATCTATCAGAAGAATGTATTTTCTTGTTAGTCTATTATAATTCTACACCTAAGGGCTCCTTTTAAGCCTGCCATAGGGAATAAGTTTGTGTTCTTTCTGAATCCCAGGTTTATTCGCACTAGCTTTATGTCAAAGCCACAATGACCAACCCCTAATCCATCAGTCTGAGCTGATTCTGATCAGCCTCACTCCTAGTTATGCAGATTATGTCATTTATTAAATTACCCTAAAATAATCTGTCCATTAATACAGCTAATATTTTTAGATCATCAGTATTTTACACTCAGTTTCTAAAATCAACAACTTCTCCTCCAACAACATTTCCCAGTTACCATTAGCTCAGATGAGTAGTATTATAGTCCAGGACAAGTCACCATAAACTCTTTCTGAGAAGTCTACAAAGCCTTATTTTAAACTAAAGGCCTGGCGCATGAATTGGTGCATGGGTGGGGTCCCTCGGCCTGACCAGTGATCAGGGCCAATCGGGCCCGGCCAGCTTGGGGAGGGACTGCGGGAGGTTGGCTGTGGGAGCACACTGACCACCAGGGGGCAGCTCCTAAGTTGAGTGTCTGCCCCCTGGTGGTCAGTGCGTCGTCATAGTGACCGGTCATAACCGTTGCTTAGGATTTTATATATATAGATTAGCAATAGTATGTGCCAGCCACCATCTTATGGAAAGCCAGAATCACCTTTAGATATTGGGGTTTCCTACAATCCTAAAATGACATTCTGGTTCACTGAGATACATTGTTAGGAGTGAATCATAAGCTCACAAAACACTAGAACTGGGAGACTTTCAAGATGACTTAGGATAACTCTCCCTTTCACTGAGGCAGAAACCGGGGCACAAGAAAGTTAGTTTAAGAAGAAAAGTTAAATAACTGAAATAATTCAATAGTAAAGATTATTCAGAAACCAATAACCAAAATTAAAAATAAATTTATTTAAAATGCTAAAGCCCTGACTGGGTAGCTCAGTTGGTTAGAGCATCCTCCTGATATGCAAAGGTTGTGGGTTTGATCCTTGGTCAGGGCACATACGAGAATCAACCAATGAATGCATAAATAAGTGAAACAACAAATTGATGTTTCTCTCTCTTTCTCCCTCCCTTTTAAATCAACAAATTAAAAATAACTTAAAATGTTCATGTATGAAAATTTTAGAATTTAAAATATATTTTTCAATAGAAAAAAACATCATAGATGCTTAACCAGTCCACAAACATATTTTCATGTGCCACGAAATTATTACTCTTCTTTGATTATTTTCAATTATTTAAAAATGCTAAAACCAACTCATGGGCCGTACGAAAACAGGTGGCAGGCCTGGATTTGGCCTGTGGACTATATAGCTTGCCAGCCTCCAGTCTAGGAGATAGTGGAGAGAAGGAGAGGCAGGGTGTACCTGGTTTAATAACTAGGGCAGTGATAACGAACCTATGACACGCATGTCAGAGGTGACACGCGAACTCATTTTTTTGGTTGATTTTTCTTTGTTAAATGGCATTTAAATATATAAAATAAATATCAAAAATATAAGTCTTTGTTTTACTATGGTTGCAAATATCAAAAAATTTCTATATGTGAGACGGCACTAGAGTTAAGTTAGGGTTTTTCAAAATGCTGACACGCCGAGCTCAAAAGGTTCGCCATCACTGAACTAGGGGGACTACCCAGGAACACTTCCATTAAACTTAACCACAAAAGCAGCTCTCCTCTAACACGGGTGCATTAATGTTATTTCCAGTTGCAAAAAAAAAAACAGGAATAGTTCATCGTGCTTAATATTAAAAGAGTTTCAGAAAACATAACCATTGATCCTGGGCAAAAATAATTCTCATCAATTATGGCACACTAATAATTATTTTAAATTAATAATTCATTCTATGGAATCTTAAAATTATAATAAATGCATTATCAGTTACCATTTTGTCCCTGAGCCGCTCTCCACGGATAAGAAAGTCAGAGCAGCCATCCTCTTCCTGGTGGGAGGCTCTGCAGACAGTGACGCAGCTCAGTCCACTACCTCCGAGGGGCAGCCATCCGCCACTGGAGTCATCCCGGGTCATCACCACAGCTCGCACTCGTGCATAACTATTACTAAAACAAAGGCAAAGATTATAAGTTAGTTTTTCCATAAACAAAAACCAGCCAAGCTTCCAGTCTTGTTTGAGAAATCAAAGACCACATCAGTTAAAGTGCTTACTACTTCCATGATAGTCTACAGAAAGTAATCTACTTGAAAGATGTCAAAAACACAAACTAACTTAAAAGGTTAACCTTTATTTTAAAGATCAACCTCACAATAAAAGACTACAGAACTCTTATTTCAATTAATCATTTGAATAGTTCAAGCACATTTGATTGTCATGGAACAAGTTAAGAAAAACCCCAGAGACAAACACTTGTCAAATTACATAGGCCCTCATCAAATTTGTCTATATATATTCAACTGCTGCAGTACAACCAGGATAAATTACTGCTATATTTTAGTATATTTAATAGTGACACCTATAACTTTCTAACATTTCTGGAATTTATTATAAATAAAATTCTGAAACTCAGACACCATGTTTTTTATATCTTCTCACAGCTTGGAACCTAAATCACACGAATCATATAAAGACAAATGTTCTGTTTCAATAACTTATCAAGTAATTGAAACCTGAATTTCATGCCTTCTCTTTGGAAGACTATTCGTAAGAGACTACACTACATTCTAGTTCCATTCAGAATCATTTCCCAATATTAACCGCAAATACTCTTTACATAAAATCTAAGAAGTGTGTTTCATCTACTAATGTTCTAAATAACTGACATCTAAGCATTTTAGTTCTAATGCTTTTAATATAATAATTATTGATGAAATCCTTTCTAAAAATAGTATACCTTGCTAACTTAGAAAAATATACTGAACATAAACTTAAACTTGTTTTGGTTATTGAATATCAACTGAAGTTCTGTTAACAGTTCTATGCTACTCAGCCTCTATGTTCTAAGTCCTAGGTTGCCAGTTGTCATTTCTCTTGCCATAGTGCCTGTTTAAAATAGTCCACTTTCCTTTTTTCACTATATTTTATTGAAGTATACTTTACACACAATAACATATTCCGATCTCAATATATAATTCAGTAAATTCTGACAAACGTACATGTCTTCATAACCAACACTGGTAATCATGCTATAAAAGATTTTATGACTACAGAAAAGTCCTTTTTTTAAAAAAATATATTTTATTGATTTTTCACAGAGAGGAAGAGAGAGGGATAGAGAGTTAGAAACATCGATGAGATAGAAACATCGATCAGCTGCCTCTTGCACACCTCCTACTGGGGATGTGCCCGCAACCAAGGTACATGCCCTTGGCCGGAATCGAACCTGGGACCCCTCAGTCCGCAGGCCGATGCTCTATCCACTGAGCCAAACCGGTCAGGGCCAGAAAAGTCCTTTAAACCTCCTTCCCATCAAATAGACAACCATGGTTCTGATTTCTAACATACACATTAGTTTTGCCTATTATGGGATTTCATATACATGGAATCAGTGTCAATATTTGTACCTTTTAATTCACAGGGTAATATGTTTTTATATATATACTAGTGACCCAGCGCACGAAATCGCATGAGACCCAGACCCGCGGGAAATCGTGTGAGACCCCAGACCCCCGAGTCCCGGCGTGCCGTGGGACCCAGAGTCAAGTCCCCACCCACCTGCACGCTCCTCACCACACACGCAGCCCCGCCCACCCGCACGCACCTCACCATGCATGCAGCCTACTGGTGACCGATCTTTGGTTGTTATGGTGTTGTGACCACTGGGTTTTTTATTATATAGATATTTTTATTGATTTCAGAGAGGGAGAGATAGAAACATCAATGATGACAATCACTTATTGGCTGCCTCCTACATGCCCCCTACTGGAGATTGAGCCCGCAACCCAGGCATGTGCCCTTGACAAGAATCAAAACCCAGGACCCTTCAGTCTGCAGGCCAAAGCTCTATCTACTAGGCCAAACCAGCTAGGACGGGTATTATGTTTAATTGTAAACTAAAAAACTGTTTTCCAAAGTGGTTGTACCATCATACAGTCCATCAATAATGTATGGTAGCATCAATAATGTATGGAAGTTGTGCCACATCCTTACCAACACTGAATGTTTTCAGACTTAAATTTTATTCATTGTACTGAGTATATAGTGGTAACCTATGCTGGTTTTAATATCAATTTCTCTGATAACTCATGATGTTGAACATCTTTTCATATGCTTACTGGACATTTGTATAGCTTCTTTGTTAAGTCTTTTGATCATTTTTTTATTATGCTGTTTTTATTACTGATTCTTCTAGAAGTTCTTTATATATTCTGGACACAAATCTCCTGTAAGAGAGCTGTACACTTTTAAAACTATACTGTGTTGTGGCTTAGTGAGGAGTCTAAAGTTAAACTTTCATACATTGGATTCTGGCTCCAAAACTTACTAGCTGTGTGTCCTTGAAACGTTACAGAGAAGTTACAGAACCCACCTTTAATAAATGTAAACAATGTCTGGGATAAAATAATCACTATTATTACTACAACAAAGAATTTTAAATTGAAGTAGTTGTCATCCTGATAACTCAAAGCCATATAGGGAAAAATAAAATGTACATGGTCAACCATAATCCTCTATTATTGGGGTCAAAATAACTTTTTATATAGAAGCTTTGAAAGTCTTTAACTTTACAGGTGACCATTCTATCTAAACTTTTTATTATTAAGTTATTCAGCGGCTCTAATTCTTATTTAGGCCCAATTCTTACCAATCTTCAACTCAGAGTACTGGTCAGTGGAGGTGTGGGTGCATAAAAGCTGGACTGAATTATACCAAAACCCAGCACCTAACTTAGACATATTAGGTTTATATGTTTGTGAACTAAACTCATACATTTGAAGCTCAATACATTTGAAGTCCAGTGAAGTTACCAAGTCACAAAGGAAGTGGGTCAAAACCTAAATTCAAGTTCCCAATAATCACTTAAGTGTCTATTTACTATAGAACCCTGACTCTTCCTTCTTGTCTAATTATTTAGTCAGCTGGGAAATTTAAGAATTTTATACTAGATTCTTTAAGACTTGGAGTAAAATATCCAATGCAGAAGCTCAGGGTATATATTGACCTCAGAGTGGGAGAGCAGTTATTCTCTTTAGGGCATAGACTCTTATTTTATCATCTTTGAATCTTTTTCTCATTTACAATTTGTATAATGGTTCTCAGACATATTTTATATTTTAAAAATATAAAAATATACATAAGTAAGATTATTTTTAAAATATTTAAAAGCCTAGTGGTTATTTTACGATGGTGAAATTTGATATTTTTCCCTTCATTTCTCAGTTTCTTCAAAAATTATTTTTATTCATATTTATAAACTATAAGTAATCTAAATAAATTAAAACCCATTTTTAACTGCCTTTGGCTTTATACAAGACTAGAGGCCCGATGCACAAAATTCGTGCAAGAGTAGGCCTTCCTTTCCCTGGCTGCTGGCACCAGCTTCCCTCTGGCACCCAGAACCTGGGCTTCCCTCCAGCTGCCGGCAAGCATCTGGGACCCCGGGCTTCCCTCGCAGCCCTGGCTTTGTCCAGAAGGTCGTCCGGTCTAATTAGCATATTATGCTTTTATTATTATAGATATCGTAAACAATTTAGAATGTTATTTTTAAAAGTGTATAAATATGTTTCAAACAAAAGTATCTCTAACATAATTCCTCTCAATACCTCTAAAAGCTTTAATGTACTCCAAAGCCTATTATGTAAATCTGTATTCACCCTTCCATAGCCTTCATTAGCTTATAATTTAACAACTCAGCTGTCAACTTCAAGACCTAAGATTAGAATACCATAAAAGTCAAGCTGTTCAATATTGTGTGGGGCTTTTTTTTTTTCCAAAGACCTTCATTCTTGACAAGGTTAATCTTTTCCACCAGTTTTTCATCTCATAACCTCCTTGCCTTCAAATGTCTTCTTTTCCCAAATAAAAGCAGCAACTCTTGTCTAAAACATGCAACCACTCCCAAAGACTAATGGCAGCTCTTACAAACTCTGTCATACTCTTCTTCCTTGTAGCAGAGTGAAATTTGCACTTGTCATTCCCTCCTTAGATAAAAGTGACCTAAGGGCAAGAAACCAAATCCTATCCTTCTATTTAAAGTATAACAGACTATTTTTTCCTGATCATGCAAGCAATAGAAGTCCATTCTAATAAATATGGAAAATAAGTAAAAGTAATATTTGCCATCATGGAATTAATATTCAAAATTTTGTTGGATTTTTACTCTCTGGGTATCATATTTGCAATTTATTCTTCTCTGACACAGCAGTCATTTATAATAACAATGTGCTCTCAGAATTTCACTCTTGAGTGTCTTTAAAATATTTAGTTGAAAGGCATTTGTTCCAACTGATTTATCCAAAAAGACAAATCTGACAAGAATTTAGTTCTGTAGTATTATTTTCAAAAATACTTCCAACTAAAGCTCTGTTCTTCACTTCGACAATGAACTACATAACAACCACTTTTGCAGCCTAGCTTTCATTCCAATGAAGTGAAGAGACTCTTGTAAAATGATGCTTGGCTTCCTTTATTTTATTCAAAATCTAAATTGAACCTCAATTGTTAACCTCTGGTCTTATTTGAACAATTACATCAAATATATCCTTTCATGCCATAGTAGGCGATTTAGAAATCAAGGTGAGAGGTAATGTTAGATTGGACTAGAGTGCTAATAATGAACACAGAGAAATTGACTGATTTGGGTGGATGTTGGAGGAAGAGCCAAAGGACTTGATGAGGTTATAGCTACACAGTAAGTATTCTAAATTATCTAAAATTCTTAATAGTAACTATGACCTTTATTTTATAAAATTTTCAACTGGCATTTCAATAAAGTTAAAGCAAAATGAGGACCAAACACAAAGATAAATGGACTCTTAAACCTCCTGCTGTTATTAACAAGCCTATAATATATCCACTCATCTACCTTCTTGCTCTTTTCATTCTTTCTTTACTCTCCTTCAAATGGGTTGTCTTTGTTCTATTAATCTGCATAAATTCTTTTTA